TAAGCGGCAAAACAGCGACTGATATGACGACCAAACCTAAGTAGAGACCCGACTTGAAATCTGTGGGACAGTCGAGGGTTTCGCTCCAATGCTTCCGAATGTCTTTCATCTGATATGAAGACAATTTGTCACACAATGTGTTTGAATCAATCGGATTGTCTGCTCATACATACCGATGCGATGATATCATTGCAGACACCGTCTGAGTAGTTATTTGCCATCAAATCGTAGTAATCGTTGATCGTTTGAAACGATTGCTTACATTCAACGCACGAGTCATTGCGCGCGAAGGATCCGTTCAGACACAGCATATGTTCTTCAGTTAATTGGAAGTAGTATTGAGTGTCGTTATGAACGACCAGATTCTGGTACTCGTCTTTACCACCGAAACAGTCTTAAGAATCAAATGAATTGTTTGCTCAAAGATTCCGTATTAAGAAGTGATAAGAATTTTATATAAAGTTATTCATCGCTTACTATCGCAGTTGCCATCAGTCCACTGATATATACCACTGCTGTAGAGACTGTGAATCAGATTGAGTTTGTCTTTGTTGATGAAGCCGTCGGAACAGTTACTAACGGACCCATTGGTGAGGTCCTCGTGAGCGCTGATCAGATCCGTGTACTGCTGAGGGCAACCCAAACAAATATTGCCCGGAATCTCGTTAATGAGAATACATTTGATGAACTCAAACAGTATTAGACCGAAGTAGGAGACCATATATTGGCACTGATAGGTGGGCGCCTCCCTGTGCGAGGGGTCGCCGAAGTATTGTCTCAATTGTCTCACACTCTCTTCCATGGCATAAGTGCTGGTGTTTTGTGTGGAACTTCTTGTGTGAAAAGTTCTTGAGTTTAATTTCGATGACATATCGCCAGATATGCCGGCATTGAGTGCACTGTACTCTTGCGGCAGGTTCTCGGCTAAAGTCACTCGCGATTCAGTTAAATGTCTTAAGTTAATCACCACTAATAACACAATTATCACGTGTGTAGACATCTCTTATTCTGTGATTACTATAAACGATATCAGTGTTTAAAAAAGTGTTCAAAAGTACAGTAGATAATATGTGACCAGGGTTAATGTGAAGTATAGATTCATAGAAATTGTCATAAAAATTGAAAATGAATGGTAGAATTAATATTCATATTGGGATTACTATTATATTTGAATAATATTCTGCATCATATTATGAGATATGCATTCATCATACAAATCTAACCTAACCTAACACAGTGTGAGAGTCATAGTGAGAGTAAAGTTATTAAATTTAATAATGAAATTTAATGCCATTTCTAACCTCAATATCATTCACACCTATCATCTATGTCTGCAATTTTTGCACCAACTTCTTGTGAACTAAGCTTCACAATTAACTTGGTCACACATTTCTATTAACCCGGATACATTTTTTATAGGAAATTGTAAAACTTTTAAAAGTCAAACTTTCAAAGAGACCATTCATGCGATTTGAGACACAAAATACAAATTGATATATAGTTTGAATTGTGAGGCAAAAGACAATGTGTTGAGTGAGTGAGTGATCGCTGCTATTGTTATAACAAAACCACTCAATACTCCATACAATTCATGACAAC